AGTTGTATGAGCCCCTAATAAAATGTTTTAAAAGAAAAATTAATTAATTAATTAATTAATTAATAAAAAAAGAACACAAAAAGTCCTTCGCAATCTAGTCCAATTATTTATTTGGCCTTGTTATCTGACACTGGATGCCTTGTTATCGGCTTTCCATTCTCCAGGCAGCTGTTCTTTCAAAATGAAGTTTGTACTATCTGCAGGATCCTTTGCCATTTGGAGCATCCAAAATAATTTGTGCAGGCCTGTCTTTTACAGCACTTACCCTATTGTATTGTATTGTATTGTATTGTATATTCACATGTCTTCTGGTTTACTAGATTGTAAGCTCCTGAAAAGCAGGTCCTGGATCTTCATTTCTGTACTAGTTGATCAGTAAATTGCCTTATTCATCCATTCACTCATCTATCTGTTCTCCATCCACCCAGTTTTACTCAACCACTGTGCTAGGTTCCTGGAGATACAGGGTTGTACTCTGTCCCAGAAAGCATTCCATGAAGCAAAATAGAGAGAGAAAAAGACGCGTGTTGTTGTTCAGTCCGAGAGCCTCTGCGGGACAGAACAAAGCACGGCCCAGTCCTGCACAAGCCTCACCACAGTGACGTTTTGGCCCAGGGGTGAAGCCACAGTCAACCCACTTCACTGCGGTCTTCTTCTTGTCCCTGCCGCCCCTGCACTTTACCAAGCAGGGCGTCCTTCTCCGGGGACTGCCCTCTCCTGACAACACAGTCAAAGTCTGTGAGACAAAGTCTCACCCTCCTCACTTCCTAGGACTTCTTCCCAGACTGATGGGTTCTCCCCTTCTGGCATTCGCGGTGCTTTCAATACCCTCCGCCAGCAGCAGCAATCAAATGCCTCCATTCTTTGGTGGTCCTTATTCATGAGGTGACTGAAAAGACTGCCAATGTGCCAAGTGCGGCTGAGTCCTCCGAGTAACATGCTTGCTCTTCAACACTTCAAAGAGGTCAGATTTGCCCAGCACAGTATTTGACTTCTTGACTGCTGCTTCCAAAAGCATTGATTGCGGATCCAAGTATGTTAGACAGGATTCTCTAGAGATGCAAAATCAGAATGCTAATAATTTTATATATATTTATACAGCTAGATACATAAGAAATAAACAATCTATAAAGCAGTACAAATGGCTCAGTGCAACTCACTCCCATGAGACAGTTGTGAGACACTGGCAGTCCCTCAAGTCTTTCAGGGCCGCCGGGTGGTCCTCTGCAGAGCAATTCAGGCCATCCGGGCACAGGCAGCAAACAACAAGGCAGGTCACCAACAGTCAGCCAGATGGCAGGGTCCGACAGTCTCCAGCTCAGGAGATATATATCCCAATAGTGTGGCAAAGCAGGTCTTGAAGGAAGCTCAAATTACAGCGACACAGTCCACAGGTTAGGTGTCCCACAGGTAGCGTAGCTTGCAAACTGAGGCACAGAACAAGCAAGACAGCCGCACACTGGTCCGATGATCAAAGAGTGAGAGACAAAGGCAAGGCTCACTGAGCCATTTATCTCTCCACCCTTCAATTAATCCCGCATGTGTTTATTGGCCAGGTTGGCACAATAAACGTTAACTACCTCACCAAGCAAGATGAAGTCTCTGACAATTTCAATCTTTTCTCCATTTATCATGATTTTACCTACTGGTCCAGTTGTGAGGATTTTGGTTTTCTTTATATTGAGTTGAATTATCTATATCATATATAATTACTTGCATCTACAAATATGTTCAGACTGATAATAAAACCAAAACAAATATTAGAACAAGTCAAAGTCCATCTCAGTAAATACTGCAGTTTTCCAATGACATTTGATTGTTTCTAATATATTTGCACTATTCTGAAAGGTCATCTTTCTAGGTCGAGACTAAATAGCACTTGAAAGAAGTTAAAGAAACGTGACAGGTCTTGCCTTCTTCCTCCCTTGCCCTCCCCCGACCCATCTTCAATAAGAGACTTAGAGAACAGCCAAGAAGAATGCTTCCTACAAGCTGCTCTTAAGAAATTTCCAGTAACTTCTTAAAAGCATTTATAATGTAAACTGAAAAGATGCTCTCCAATGACACAAGTACTATTTTTTCATGATCTCCTTAGAGGTCATGAAACTGACTGTGTTTACAGGTCAGTCAACACTTGTTTACTGGTTTACATGTCAGTAAACACTGACTGTGTTTCTGGTCAGTAAGGTCTATCAACAGACTGGAAAACTGGTTTCTCTTATGGTCTAAAGTGATGCATTTCTCCCCTCAAATGTATTGTACTCTTTTCCCAAAGATACAACGTCTGCATCAACACAGCCATTGAAAGTGCTCTTTCAGTGAACAGAATAGTGTAATATAATGCTTTTAACAAATATAATGTATAGTTCTTCAGATCAAATTTTTTGTTTAAACACTTCTACCTAAATAAGTTTTGTAAATTATAACTTACATGAGTTAAATTCTCTCAAGTATACAATTCTGTTCATTTTCATAAATAGACATGGTCGTGAACCACCCCCTCATCAAGATACACAGCATTCCCATCACCCCAGCGTTCTTCCCCACATCTCCCCTCCTCCACCCCGCAACTGCTCTGTTTTGCCTTTAGAGTTTCAGGAAGAATCATACAGTGCTAGTGTCCCCACTCTTTCATATGGCACCGTGTTTGGGCGAGTCACCCATGTTGTTGACTATATCAGTTTTTAAAACTTTATCCATGCTAATGAACACATCTCTCACTGTGGTTTTAATTTGTATTTTCCAAGTGATTGTAGATGCCAAGCATCTTTTAATGCGCTTGTCAGTCATTCATGTATCTTTTCAGTTGAATTAAGATTTTTCCTTTTTTTTCTAATTGTATTATTATAATCTTTAGGTTGTAACAGTTCCTGTTAATTCCAAATTGTTGTATTTTGGATTAAGTTCGTAGTGGAATGAGGTCCTTTATTGGATATATGTTTTGCAAACATTTTTTCCCAATCTGTAGCTTCTTCATTTACTTGACGTTTCTTTCAAAGAAGCAAGTGTTTCATGCTAAGTGCTAAAATGAAAATCAACCTACCACTTTTTCCCCTCGGTTAATGTGAAAGAAGTGTTCAAACTGTGTTCATTTCTTTTTGTGTTTAAAGAAATCTTGACAAGATCACAGTGACAAAGGGTTGCTCTCCTGTGTTTTCGTTTGTCAGGACCACAGCTCCCGTCCTTGTGTAGAGGTGAATGATCCACTTCAAGTTGGGCAGGGTACAAAATGGAGCCTGACACAAGACTGGCGGTTTCAAATCCTCCAGCCAATCTGAGGGAGAGAGATGAGGCTATTTGCGCCTGTAAAGATCACAATGATGCGTCAGAACTGATTCGATGGCAGTGGGTAGGGTGTATGACACAGGGCTGTTCTGTTTTGCAGAGATATCCAATTATTCCAGAACCATTTGTTGAAAAGACTAGCTCTCCCTCATTTAATAACCTCCTAAGTTCAGAACAGCCCTTAGTGTTCATTTATCACTACTACTAACCCTGGTGGCATAAGGGTTACACAGGGGACTGCTAACCATAAGGTCTGCAGTTCAAAACCACCAAGCTGCTCTACGGGAGATAGACAAGGTTTTCTACTCTGGTAAAGAATTACGCTAACAGAAACCCAAGGCTGCAGTTCCACTTTGTCTTATAAGATCACTATGAGTTGGAATAGGCTCAATGGCAGTGGATTTGGTTTGGTTTTTTGGTACCAAGGTGTAAAAAGAGGCCCAGGTGGAGTTGTTGGGTAAGCATTACACTGCTAACTACAAGTTCAAAGATTCAAACACAACAACCATTCTGCAGGAGAAAGTTGAGCCTATCTGCTCTGGTAAAGAATTACAGGCCCAGAAACCTTGTATGTGGTATTTTCAATCACTTCATATGCCTATGAAAGTTGGACATTGAATGAGGCAGCACGAAGAACCACCGATCCGTTTGAACGACGGTGCTGGTGAAGACGACGGAAAGTACCGTGGACTGCCCAAAGAACACACACATCTGTCCTGAAAGAGGTACAGTCCGAATGATCCTTCAACGCTAGTATGACTTGGGACATGTTACCAGGAGAGACCAGTCAATCCCTAGAGAAAGACATCATGCTCGATAAAATACAGGGGCTTCAAAAAGGAGAAAGACCCTTGACAAGACCCTGGACAAGCTGGATTGGCACAGTGGCCAACAATGGGCTCAAACATAACAAGTGTGAGGCTGGCAGATGACCAGGCAATGCTTTGATCTGTTGTGCATAGGGTCACTGTGAATCAGAGCCAACTCCACAGCACCTACAACCAGCACCAAAAGTGTTTATTTATTTAATGATCAGCAAGTTATGTTGATTGTGTCCTTCCCTACCGTTAATCTTGAAGAAAAAGAAATTCCTAAAAGTAGATAGCTGCAACTTCAGAAGAGACAAAGCCCAGTGGAATGGGACTTGGAGGATGATGGGAACCTACAGTAGTTCTGAAGGGCTCACTAGCAGTGGCTTATAGGAGTATTAAAAAATAGTCTTTAAATCTAATTATTTCTTTAAATCTGTTCAAACACTTGATCTGCAAACCTTTCAATGAAGACGTAACAACCATTTTCTCCTTCAGGGTTATATTCTGGGATGTGCTTCCGGCTGACATACTTAACATGAACCCTGCATACAAGCCCTGTCAAGACCCAATAGGTGCTTGTTAATCCGCAGATCATGTTATCACCTTCATTCTTCAGAGCTGTCCATTCAACTGAACACAATTGAAAACCCGTCCTTCTCAAACAAGAGTGCATCTAGTAATTCCAGCTGTGGTCGGTGGCTTGCCAAGTACTACTGACTGAATGGAGAATAATCATATGGCCAAATGATGGAAGGAAAATAAAAAACAAGTTCCTATACCTCAGTTTGGAGATAGGTCAGTGGCTTTAAAATAACATGGTTAGTTACATATTTTTACTGTTTTAAAAATCACATCATATAGCCTACGGGCAAAGGTTACCTATTTTCAAATGAAATTGTTAAAATAGTTGCTAAGAAATTACTATTGCTAATATGGTTTTTCTACTGCTCTGGAGAAGAGAACCACCTTAAAGTCAGAGTCTTGAAATATATTTATCTCCATTTACACAAACTTCTTGATAATAAATAAGGAATATGGCTGGTCTACCTGTAGTAAGTTTTGCCCATACATGGCAGTTATTAACAATTTTAATATTTAATAAAATCCTAATGGACAAGTTCACTCACAGCCACAAGCAGAGAGCAATGGCAGACCTCAGAGAGGGCCCCTGCCCCTTTCACCAGAGGTTCCCAGCTCAGTCAGGGAAGACAAGATCACTGTATTACCTTCAACTGCTCGAGGGCAAAAGACGAACCATCTTGCTGTAAATTCGCAATAATCTGCTCCACCGTACTGCCTGAAAAACAACTATAAAAAAGGATATAGAATTTTACCAATGCACTTCTAAGATACCAATGACTTTGAACACAGGCTTTTCCCTACTTCTGTCAAATTTTCCCAACCTATTTTACAAGCTCACAAAACAAAACATCACTTCTCTGGGAAAGTGTCTGCAGGCCACCTTTACTATTGAGAAATAAAACCTACATTTTCTTTTGCGCGTCACTTCCCTGGCCCCCAGGGGGAAACCCCACGGTTACCGAGTTCATCCTGACTCACAGCAACCTCTGTCTAGGGTTTCTGTGGCTGCACATCTTCAAGGGAGTGGACAAGTTCGTCTTTTTCCCAAGGAACAGATGGTGGGCTTGAACCATTCGTTCGTTGACTTGGAAGTTAGCAGTCCAACGCTTACTTGACAGTGCCATGAGCGCTACTAGCATTAATATA